ACATCACCTTGGAATTCATGCAAGGCTTTGCACAACACACCTGCTGGGTGTGTACACACTACAAAGGTGTTTAGATTCCACCCATAGATCATGCTGGGAGGGAACACACTACAGAGGTGTATACATGTTCGTGGTGTGTTTATAAGGTTAGTAAATCAACCCCTCTGTGTTAACACTATATATATCCATCCAAAGATCGTGTTTTGCCATTGGCCATATATTCGTTACCCATCTCCATCTTCATAATTTAATCTTCTCTATACCCCTTTATATTCTTCAGTCTGTCTGTAGTTTTCCCAATTTCTCCAGGTCTTATTGAACCTGTCCTTTCTATCTATATCCTTTGCACTTAACGCCTCCATATATTTTATTTCTTCCATTGAACTAACGCAGTTCTCTAGAGTTGGTGGTGTCATAGATTTCCATCTCCGCGAGATACAGACTCTGGCCGCAACCAACATAAATCTTAGAATATCACTTTTTATCTGTCTTAGGGATCCCGGTACCAATGATAGTATGGCCATTAGGGGATCTATTTCAACATTTTGTGTTTCTATAGAGTTATACATTTCAAATACAGATTCCCAAAACGGCTGCAATCTAGTACAACTCCACCAGACGTGCAAGTACGTCCCCTCTTCTAGGGTACATCTCCAACATCTATCAGATAGATATGTTTTATACCTTCTGGGCACCTGTACCATCTAGATATTATTTTATAGTTTTTTTCTTGGTGAAATGTGGATGTAACCGACTTATGTGTCATATTAAATATTCTTCCCCACTCTTTATCCGATATTTCTCTCTGCATATCTTGTTCCCATCTTTTCATAAACTTAGTGTATCCCTTATCTTCCTCTTCTCTCAACATGCCATATACTACTGATAGAGTGTGGGTAATGGGTTTTTCTTATATGCACAGTTTTTCAAATGGGGTAAATGCCCTATTAAGAGTATTGTATGTCCGAAGATGTCTGATATAATCTGATAACTGTACTGCCTCCATCCATAACTTCCTATTAGTTTGATTCTCTGGTCTTAGGTCAGTTTTCAGCTCCTCTCTTCCTGGTTCTAATACCTGCCATAACTGTATATGGGATGTATTCCCCACATTTAATAGGGAGACTACTTGCATGCCCAGTGGAAATTGTGGGTTGCCCAAGATAGGGGTCAGGGGCCCTGGCCTAGATGATAGATTATATCCAGTGGCGTACCTATCCCAAATTCGTAGTACCGATTGTACTAAAAATGGCAAGGTTGACTTATGTGGTCTACTCTCCGCCGGTAACCAAGGGAGGTTCCTCAAAGATATTGGTGAGATGTCATCTTCCAATTTTACTACCCCCTTATCTTGGCCCCTATGCATCCAATCTAATATTCTAGATATTAAGATTGCTTTATGATAGAGCGCAAAGTCTGGTATTCCCAGTCCTCCTCTATGTTTTGATCTCGACAGGACTTTCGCGCTTATTCTAGGGTTTTTATTTGCCCATACAAATTTCATTGTTGCCGATTTTATTTTTCGAAAAAGGATTCTAGTAGAGGTATAGGAATTGTCTGAAGTCTATATAATATTTTGGGAAGGATATCCATTTTTAACACATTTATTCTAGCCATCCATGTTAGTCGTATGTTATTCCATGTATGAAACTGGGCAAAACTGTTATCTATCCATTCCCCAAAGTTTTTAGAAAATAGCATATTAAGTTCTTTAGGAATATTAACCCCCAGGTATGCAATATATTTAGGCTGCCATCTAAATGGGTAGTTATTCTTAATACAGGTTTTTACTTTATCGGTTAATTAAATATTTAAAAATTCCAATTTAGTTAAATTTATTTTAAAATTACTTAAGTCGCCATATCTCGTTAGTTCTTTAAGAGTATTAGGTATCGCTATTATTGGAGTAGATATTTAAAGAAGTAGAGCGTCTGCATATAGTGCTATTTTGTGTTGTTGTGTTAAGATGGGTATACCAGTAATCGAGGGGTTCTTCCTGATAGTTGCCGCTAATTGTTCCATTGCTATAACATATAGCAATGGTGATAAGGGGCATCCCTGTCGGGTGCCATTAAATATTGGAAAGGGGGCAGATAGTTCCCCATTGACTCTGACCCTTGTATTTGGGTGTGTACATAGTGCCATCACTTTAGAAATAAATGTTTCTCCCACTCCCATTTGCGCAAGAGACTCTCTAAGAAATGTCCAGTTTACTCTATCAAATGCTTTTTCCGCGTCAATTGATAGCAGACAAAGTGGTTTATCTCTTTTTTGGGCTATTTCTATTAAGTTGATGACCCTAGTGGTACTATCTCTGGCCTCACGTCCCAGCACAAATCCAGTTTGATCCAGATGAATAATTTTGGGCAATACCTTTTTTAACCTGTTGGCCAATATTTTTGCATATATTTTCAGATCTATGTTTATAATGGAAATTGTGCGATAATGGCCACACTCTGATCGATCTTTTCTGGTTTTTGGGAGTACAGATATATGTGCCTCCATTGTCTGTATAGGAAAAGGGCTAATCTCTCTTACTGAGTTACAGGCTTTTGTGAAGAAGGGGGTAAGTACCTCCTCAAATTGTTTATAAAATCGTGCTGTATACCCATCTGGCCCCGGTGCCTTATCAATTTGTAATGAAGAAATTGCTTCTTTTATTTATTTTTCTGAAAATGTCAAACTCAGCCTTTCACCATCCTCGGAATTTAAGACCGGCACATTTGCCTCTTTTATATAATTCCTCACTTTATTTACAAACTTGTCTGTTGGCATATCTACATATTTGCCTCTCAGTGATTATAAAGATGCGTAATATTTTTGAAAGGTTTCTATTATCGAGGATGGTGAATTCTGCATGTTCCCATTTCCATCTTTAATTTGTAGTATATTATTATAAGATGTCCTTGGGTGGATTTTCCTAGCCAGCAACTTACTACATTTATCTCCCTTTTCATAATACCGATTTTTACCTTTATCTCTAGCAATCAGTGATTGTTGGTCTGGAATACTGCGGATGTCCCTTCTTACTTCCATCAATTGGGTGGAACCTTTTATTGTTACATTCGCCTTGTTCATGGCCTCCAATTGGTTTAGTTTTTTAAACAGTCCTTTCAATTTTTCTGTCCTCTCTTTTCTCAATCTAGAGCCATGTTTAAGCAGGATTCCCCTTATTACACATTCCATTGCCTCCCATTGAATGGGATTTGATGTAGTGTCTTTATAATGATCCTTTATAAAAATTTTAATGGTAGTATTTATTTCTTCTTGACACCCAGTATTTTTAACAAGTTATCATTCAATCTCCAATTTCCCATTTTTTTGTTTGTATTTTCTATTCTCACTGTCAAGCTTACCGGTGAGTGATCTGACCATAATATCGATCCTATTTCAATCTCTGGGGCATAATCCAATAGCTTCTGATATATCCAAACATGATCTATCCGGCTATAGGATTTATGCACTGAATGCCATATTTAGATACAAAAACCACTACAAACTACGGCCACTCATCTCTCCGCAGTTGTGGTTCATAAACGCAGACTGTAGCTCGTGACAGGTTTGCAGTTTGGGAATATAAGGCAATGTATAGTTTATCTTAAAGGCAACGTGAACTGAAAGAATACAGAGGCAGTACAACATTGCTAATCGCTCTTTTCTGAAAATGCAAGCTGGCAGGCTATCAAGCTAATCTAATGTCTTCAATGCATAGAACTATGCAGCTCAAGTGTTTTGGCTTCTGATCTGCATGCTTTTTCTGGGTCAGTGAATGAGAAGGTATTTAAGCCAGAGACAGCCAGGCAACTGATATTCTTTTAAGGGTGAGTAATAGCAGCCCCCCTCTTATTTTGGTACAGGTTTCCTTTAATGTGCAACGTAGGCAATAGCTAAGCCATAAACTGAATGCTATATATTATATGTGGATCTTCTATAAATAGTTTATAATCATGTGTACATGCTGTTAACTATAACAGAAAGCAATTCACTCATAATTATTTTTATGTACTACGGTCATAGTTACTTACTGTATGTCAAAATGTACTGCTCCTATTTAATTTTGTATTATCACTTAAAATGCCCAATGATAGCTAAAACACCACAATAAATGACAAAATAAAGGTTTTCTATTAACTCTTTATTTTTACATTCTAGAATGTAAAACAAAATCATTTTTCTCAGTGTCTCTCTGTTTTATGAAAAGTTTATATCATATAATTTACATAGCGATTGCAAAGGTATAAATAACAGTACAATATGTTTGCTTTGTTTAAAAGGAAATATACATCTCTTTAGGCTCTCAGCTATATAACCATGTATATGATGAGGTCTGTTAAGCAAAATGGAACATGAATTGGTCGAACATATAGTTCAAGACAAGAGAGGACTTAAGTGGAGATACCAGACACTTTTTGAGCTTGGGATATCAAAATTGCTTGTAAATATCCCTCTTAACACATCAAGATACCCACCATCCTGGAGTGTTTAAGTTGCACATTTTGTGTCTGGGAATTTATCTACCCCCCAGGCTCTGTGCTGGTCTTTTAAGTCAGCTATGGGTGCAGGAATAAGTAAGTAATATTATTGATTCTTCTTTATGTACATGACAGGATTTGTCTAGATGGCAAGGAAACAATCCAAGCAGGCAAGAAGACAACAGACTAGATGCTCCAGGTCATTATTCTATGGTCATTCCTTCTTGCTTCACGTTCACATTTTATGTAATTTAGACCCCCTCATATCATGCTGATGACATAGATTTATATAAGTAAGAGCAGAATCACGTTCCATAAAAGATAAGCACATTGTTAAAACCCTGAGAAGTAAAAGGAAGTTCCCCAATACATGTACATGGAAGGTTTGCAACATGTTCAAGTAAGATTTGGCAAAATGGGTTTCTCAGTCACTTTAGAAAGGAAGTTCATGGAAACCAATGACAAAATGGTTAACTAGCAGAAGGAATCAAGGTAGATTATATCTTGTACATGTCCTTGTACAATCACATTGTTGTCATTGTGGGTTTATAAATTGTGGAGAACAGCAGGCAGTCTGTAGAAGGCACATGTGGCTGGTAAACTTGATCTTCACAATGATCAGGTAGCTGTGGTGGTTTACACTTTTATGGATTTACTACTGCACCTTCAAACCATTCCTTAACTATCTTTTTGTTTTCGTTTACCCACTTGATGTTTGCCTTGGTCCTCTCTATTGATTGTTCCAAAGCTCGTGAAGCTGTGCCAAAACCAATTACTTCATAATCCTTTTTAAATTGTTCAAGCTGGTGAGAAAAGGAATGGTTGTCATCATTAATATGAAAAAAACCCTTCCCAGTTAGATTCTTGTACATGCATGTATTTATGAAATGTAAATGGTATTATATTCATTTTATAAAAGTTAAAGTGACCTTTATTTACAAAGGATGACTTGCTATATGGGTTCACTTAGGTTGAGTGTGACAATTTAACAGAAAGTCATTTGGAAAAACTGGAGCAGGGAAAATTGCTATTGTTGCCTAAAACAACCCATGAATTCCTTATGCCACATTCCTTATACCTCAATGCTACCACTGAATGTTTACTGTTGACATCATCTTAGTATTTCCTTTGCTCCAGTTTTCAAGAATAAGCCCCGGGGTATCTAATAATTCTAAAAAATATAATTGCTCCACTTTCTTACTTGCATATTTATGCTTTTCAGGACCTTTTTACAATAATGATAATCCACACAGCTCTCCTTTGGCTACCTACAGCTATTTTAGAAAAAAAATACCCACCTGCTGCAGATCAAAATCATTTGAGAATCTTCTAGTCACTCCTGTAATCAGGTTACCAAAGGAAGATATGGTACCTCCAAAGCTAGAGACAAAAAAAATTAAATATAATAATTTTTTCTGGTCTATTTGACAGGTAAAAACACACAATACAGTCAGTTAACATAGTGTAAATCTTATATATATATTTTTTAAATTTCATCACAACTAATATAAGGCTGTTGGACATCCCATTCGAAAACAATGGGAATTATTAAGGACTTCACTCTTTTGGTGTGCGTCTGTGGGCAGTTCGGGCCCATTCAGTGAAAAAAGCATGTAGAAGATCAGGTAAAGCTGTCGAGTTGCTCCACATCATTGAACCATTTCTTTATCGATCTGACTTTGTGCTGCTGGACAGTCATGCTGGAACAAAAAATGACCCCAAACTGCTGCCACAAGGTTGACAGCTAACAGTTGTCCAACATGTCTTTGTATGCAAAAGAACTGAAGGTATGTTCATGTTGATTATGTGTTTAGATGAAGCACTGAGATCTTGAGGAATGCTGAATTAAGTTTTACTTGCTTAGAAGAACGTTGCATCCATGTAATTAGAAATACATACTCAAAGAGGAAACATATAGATCATAGATAGAAGCATTCATATAGAAAAACTAGCATACAGACTAGCAAATATTAGCTTTGCACCACAGTGCCATCTAGTGTTTAAAAGACATAGTTACAGTCAGCAACACATTTAGCATGTATCAGCAAAGGCTGTTGTATTTCCAACACCCCCTCTCAACAACATTTGCGTTGCTATATGAAATTTAGCTTCTCTCAAAGGAAACTGTAACAATCCTTTGGCAATGGCATGGTGAGTGCATCCGCAGTCATTTCTTCTGATGAGCAATATTACATGTCTATAATAGTTTGCTCTTGAGTGTCCCTTAGAAGATGATACTTCATGTCAATACACTTGTATTGAATGTGTCTTAGCAGTATATGACAGCCTGCAGGGTGGTATTTCCCTTTGTTGTCTGAGTGGATATTCTAATTTCCAGTTGTTCAGCATAATTTAACATGGAGCTTGAATTATTCATTGTGAGTACCACTTCTTGTTCTGACTCCTGTGCAGCTTCACTTTGCTCAGTTTCTGTCAGACTTACCCGGCGCGTCCGTCCTCTCCAGCGGCGCGCCATCTCTGCAGTGATGTCACGCTGGGCTCCGCCCCCTGACCTCGGCTTCCCTTCATAGCCATGGCGGAGACACTCACTCGGGGTTCTGTATAATGCGGAACGTCGAGCGAGGTCTTCCCGCACTCCAACGAACCAGGCTGCTTGCTGAAGCTTCTGTCAGCCGTAGCTGCCCTCTGGGACAACACCGCACCCCCAACTCACCTCTCTGCCATTGCAGCTGCAAACGGACTCCCCAGCAGTAACCACCATCTCCTCAACCGCAAGTACTAGGGGCTCTCCCTCTATCTCCTGTTCTCAGTGGCATAAGGATACCAGGCTGCTAATAACTTGCTGCAATACTACTAGAACTTTTAGTAATCACTATAACCAGTGCTAGGATTGAGTAGTCTGTTCATTACTGAGGTGTATGCCATCCTGCCTCCATTGTATATCTATGCAATTCTGCTAACTATACTTGCTGCTCAATTGGTAGAACTATTCAAATGATCCTCATACCGCTGGTGTCAATTCAACTCATAGTGCTTATTAGTGTGGTGTGTGCCATAGGGAACTACAGTCCCATCACTCCACCATAGCTGTACTCAGCAGACTACAAATTGCTATACTATCGGGTGTTACCATCCAGTTGCTCATCCGCTCCTCCTTCTAGGCCGGGATACATGATGTGGAATGGTACCCCATCGCACTTGGTATATTAGGGAACCGTCCGTCTGACCCAATCCCATAAGGCCATACTCAAAGAGATCCTCAGCTGTTATCCAAACCCTCCACTGCTTGTGCGATCGTGACAGTTTCCTTTACTGGTTCACTGGGCGAATTGACTTCACAACTTGGTATCATTGTTTCTGGTGATGGATTTTCGCTGCAACTTACTGTCACTGTGTTAAGTCTTTGGGTGGTGTATTCTATATCCCTTACTTTGTTTACTATAGCTCACCAGAATACCTTCAATGGCTGTGTTCTCTAACTTGGATCGCTTCTCTTTGGGAATACAGGCGTAAACTTTACATCCAAACACTCTGATGTGCCCTAGGCTAGGCTTCGATTCATGCCACATTTCAAATGGGGTGTTTTCAACGGCTTTTGATGGTAGTCTGTTCTATAGGTATGTTGCAGTCATTTCTTTAAAAGAGCGATTTTTCCATCCTGCTACACCATCTTGTTTGGGAGTGTATGGTTTGGTTGTAGGTGTACTATTCCCTGTTTCTTCAGCTATGATTCCACTTCCTTACTGGTGTATTCTCCTCCATTGTCGGTGCATATGATTCCTGCTTTCCGTTGGAATTTGTTGCTGGACATGGCTACAAACTCTTGAAGTTTTTCTGATGTTTCATTCTTGTGCTTCAACAGATAATTTGTTGTGTACCTGGAATAATCCTCAATGAAAGTCAGTAGATATCTGTTCTTGCCTGATGTGGGAGTTTTCATTGGTCCGCACACGTCACTGTGTATGAGCTCCATGGGGTGTGTGGTCTTTCCTTGAGTGGCCTGTAGAAGTTGGGTACGTGTGGCTTTTTCTTCCATACAGCATTTGCATGTCATGAGCATTTGGCAGAGCAGTTATATCTTCTGATAAATCTCTCTTTATAATGTCTTTTACAGCTTCTGGGTTTCGGTGCCCTAGTCGTCTGTGCCGTAGGTGGATACATTTGTTGCGTGGATTATGAGTTGCTGTCTTGACTTGTTCCTCTGCGGTGATGAGTCTGTAGAGGTGTACATCCAATTTTCCTTTTGCGAGGATTTGCTTATTGTTTCGAATTGTACATTCATCACCTCTGAATTGAACTGTGAGACCATTATTAGCAAAGGTTTTAACTGATAGAAGGTCTGGAATATATAGCACTTTTTTCACAAGGATACTCTGTTTGTCCCCTGATGGTGTGATACAGTTCAAGAATCCTTGTCTGTTACCTTCTGCAGTAATACTTTTCCCATTTGCTAGGAAAAGTTTGTCCTTTGCACTGAAATCAATTTCTGTGAGGATTTCTCATCACTAGCCATGTGACTCGTTGCACGCGTGGTATACTGTTCTGAGTAATTTTAAAGGTAGCACTCCATGATGTGCCTTCAGTTTCCTTTGTGACTGCTTTAGCTCTTTCTCTTGTGGGTGCCTCTCGCTTTCACTACTCAGCTTTCCAGATTGAACAGTTCTTTTTCAGGTGACTAGTCGTTTTACAGTGAAAACACGCTCAGCTTTCTTTGTTTTGCTTTACACTCTCATGTACCTTAAGGGCTTTCCCGTTTTCTTCATTATGCATATTTTCTTTCCTTCTGTCATATTCATCAATTAATTTTCCTTTAGTGTATTCTAGTGTTAGTTCCTGCTCAGGTCTGGTTTCTAGAGCATCAATAAGAGCACTGAAAGACTCTGGAAGGCTGCATAGCAGTAATGCCATTACATGGTTATCTTTAATTTCCTCTCCAATTGCATGTAACTGTTCTATGATTTCCAGCATGGCATTCACATGTTCACGCATTTCCTGGCCTTTTTCCAGCCTCATCTTATAGAGCTTGCATAGGAGATATAGTTTACTGTTTAGGTTTGAACGCGGTGCACTTTCTGTAATAACATCCACATACCTTTAGCTGTATTGTTTTCTGATGTAGATAAGCTGGTCATCTTCCACTAGCAGACTTAAAATTGCTTTTGCAATTGTCCCATTCTTCTGCAGGTCCATTATTGGGTCTGTCTGTACTCAGTACTTGCCACAAATTGTCTTTGCTTAGCAGCATTTCAAGCTTGAACTTCCATGCCTAGTAGTTGCTATTATTGAGCTTTGCAATTGCAAACTTCATATCTGAACTACTTGCCATTTTTCAGCAGCTTGGATGCAGCACTTGTTTACTTGCACTGTTCTGTTCAGTGTCTGGGCCCATAACCTGTTGGTTATGTGTTTAGATGAAGCACTGATGTTTTGAGGAATGCTGAATTAGGTTTTATTTGCTTAGAAGAACGTTGCTTACATGTATTTTTAAATACATCATCAAACAGGAAACCGATAGTTATAGATAAAAGCATGCATATAGAAAAACTAGCATACAGACTAGCATAGATTAGCTTTGCACCACAGTGCCATCTGGTGCTCAAAATACATAGTTACAGTCAGCAACACAATCAGCATGTATCAGCATAGGCTGTTGTATTTCCAACAGTTCACACATGCCTGCACATAAACATTTTCTGTTTTAGCATACAGCCTGTTGCCCACTCAGTACCACACATAGTGTGAACATAGCCTAAAAATACTTGTTACTGGCAACAGCTGAACTCAATAATTTGGAGAGCTGTCCACAAACTTTTGGCCATATAGGTAGGTGTGATGGTCAGGTGTCCACAAATGTTTGACCATAGTGTTAAAAGGTGTCATTAAAATAAAGGGGTTAAAGGCATATGCCCAAAGGGCCCAAATGGGCAAATTTCAAAACTTTTAATACAAGATAGTAGGGATGTTCAGATACCAGTGTCGATAATTGGAATTTTCACGAGAACTGTCAAGTTTGCAGCGGTTGTAGCTGGGACCTGGCTCTGGCGTTCCACCACTATCCTGAAATCCATTAGTCTGTATTATTTTACATGTCACTAATCAAAAATGTATCAGTACTTGTATCTATGAGTACTTGGAAAAATGGTATCGGTGCATCACTTATACAGTATATATTAATTAAAAAAAAGTAATACATTAAAACAGGGATGAACAAATCCCAGGAGCTCTGTGTGCTCCTTAAAAATTACAGCTACCTCCTCAGTTTTGAGTTTTTCTCTAGTCTAGTCTTGTAGCTGGAAAAGTATCTGTACTTGTACTTGTGCCGAGTACGGCACTTGGTATCTGAACATCCTTACAAGATAGTATTCTACTTCTGCCTGAAATATGTTTAAAATGAAAATGTTTTCTGTATTTTTTGAACCCTTCCATTCATGACTAAACCCTAATATAATATTCACAATAAGCCTATAAAGAAGAGCCCCAAATATAATGTTTATAATGTGTTTAAGCGCTGATTAAGGGAGGGTTGTGAGTCCTCCAAAACTCGTTGGCTATTACTGACTGACTTTTTATAAAAAATAATAAATCTATACTAGAGCAACTATATTTTTGTGGCACTCTCGTCCTTTACACTTTTTTTGGATTATTTTGGGGATCCTTGGGATGCTCTGAATTTTAGAGAGCTGCCTCTTGACACTGGAGATCACACCAGATCTTTGGGTCCAGTGCTCCACCAATACATACATGTTGCTGTGATTATGGCATGTACTGAGAAAATCCTATGATATGCTTTACCATCAGTTCGTAGGGAAACTCATACAGATTTAAAGTACCTTCCCCATTTACATCAGTGTCTGGACACTTACTAGTCAAGGAATGTCTTCCAGTGAGCTCTGACAAAATCCCAGGCAAGGGTCTGACCAACTGCATTGTTGGCAACATTTGAAACTGTAGAAATGGCATCTTGTTTCCGAATTGTGCCATCCAGGGCATATTCTAGCAGTCTGAAAAACAGTACAATTAATAGAAATATCTGGTTTTGTTCATGAAAACTCCTCTAGGTGCACTGTATACATTGCAGATAATGAATGTTATTTCAGATCTTTACCTGCTTTTGTCCTGTAGATTTTGAAGGAGAACCATGGGCAAAGTAAGAATTACATTTATCGATCACTAGGAAAAGCTTTTGTTTTTGAGTCCCCCCAGTAATATGGCTTTATCACCCGTTGATCCTACCATCACATTTGTAATTTTTCTATTTTCTTTTATAGGGAGAAAATACTGTTCATTCTGAAGTTAAACTGCACATACCATCATTGTCACCCTGTGGACAGAGTAGTCTTAGATAGACAGGTAGTTTTGAATGGACTTTAAAATGACACTAAACTCAGGAGTTAAATCTTAAAAATGCATTCAAGTACCTTAACTATTAACAAAAATGTATCTTATTTGTGTATCACTCAGCTGTAGATCCACAAATCATCTCTGAATTGGTGCTGACACTGTCCTTCCTTCTGGAGGGTGGCTACTTTTATTCCCCCTGGTCCCTGCGTGTGCTCGCTCCCGTGATGGACTACAATCTCATGTTTAGATTCCAAATGTGTATTGAGATTGTATTCCATCACGGAAGCGGGCTTGGTGCGGTAGCTACTTTATAACACACACAGGTCTGTAGGACAAAAGTAGCCACCCTCCAGAAGAAAGGACAGTGCGGCAGTTTGAGTAGTTGCCTTAGGCGGCATCTCATTGGGGAGCTCCTGGGTGTTGGGGGGTCTAAGAGCTCTTAACAAACTATGATGCTCTGTGTGGTGTGGCTTCCTGATGTCCCCAGTTGCCAGGAGCTCTGGCTTGCGTCCCATTTAGCTCCTGGCAACCAATGGCATCAGTCAGCTAAGTGGGATGCTGGACAGAGCTGCCGTCATACTCCACAACCGCCCCCCCCACACACACACCTTTTGAACAACAAATCAGCTGTGCACACCACTCTCCCCTCAAATGCCTATTCCCTGACAGCATCCTGCCCTCACTGGAATGACATTATCACCTCAGGCAATGATTAAACTAGAGACAGCCCTGACTACACTCACATGTTTACTAATTTGTATTGAAATTATAGTCTCTCATGAGAGTGAATAGCATTGTTGAATTGTACCGTAACTGCTCAAACTGTTAGCACTATATACATTTTGTATAATAATAATAATAATCATATCTAATTGGCTTAAGAGTATCAGGAAGATTTGTTTCCCTGTTGCATACTTCTTAACAGTCCCAGTTTCTGCTGATGTGTCCTGAGATTTTAAGAAAATTCCAACATTTCACAGATCTGGGCTTTGTCCCACTGCCAACTGGGTACTCTTTTTTGCTGCTCTTCAGGCAGAGTGATCTCCTGCCCTTCATGAGCACTATACTTATGGCAGAGGAAGCCAGTAGCACGAAACATAGAGGGTGGATAGGTAAGTAATCCACTATTCCACATTTGACACACCACTGCCTCCCCTCTACTGAACACCAATGACCCACCAGTGAACACCAATGACCTCCACTGACAGCAATGCATGCACCCTAACCTCAACCTGCCCCCCCTTCTCTCTTCA